AAGGTAATGCAGGTTTTAGGGTCCTTAACTCGGAGGCCCCAAAAGGTGGGATGAAGGTAGGTAGGATCAAGGATCCTTTATACAAGGACTATTATTGGGGAATATCCCACCTACCTTCACCCCACCTTTTGAGGCCTCCGATTAAGGTAATGCAGGTTTTATATCATCAACCGTCATGAACTTGAAGCTCCTGATTGTAAGGGCGTAAGGCTTAGGGTTTAGGGCTTTAGGGCTTCAGGGCGTTTAGGGGTTTAGGATGTAGGGTTTAGGGTCTTAGGATGTAGGGTTTAGGGTTTTAAGGTTTAGGGTTTAATCTGGGTGTAGGGCTTTAGGGCTTAGGGTTCCCTACACGGGGGTTCTGGAAGCGTTTGGGAGCTCGGATTCGACCACGGTGCTAGAAGAGTGTAAGGTTGAGGGTTGAGTCCTTCGGAAGTACCCTTAGCATCAAAATAGCCCGACAGCCTTATATAATAGGGTCTTTGGGCCCAAAAGCTTTAAAAAATAAGAGTCCCTTGAGTCTTTCGGATTTAGGGCTTAAGAAAAATTCTGCAGGAACTCTATAAGAGTTCTACCAGGCCCAGACGAACGCAATAAGGGTTCTATGAAGGCTGTACAACACTTCTACACGGGTTCTCTAAATGTCTTATCAGGCTGTATCCTAGACTGCTTAAAGGGTCTTAAAAAGAGAACCCCAAAAAGGTATCCAACCAGTATATGGTCAAGATCAGCCCTTTCTAAGGGGTTCTATCTTTTTGGATCTTCTGGGGGCCTGGCATCGGGGTTCTCTGAACGGCTTCAAGAGATTAGGAGGTTCATTGGACTTTGAAAGTGGCCCTAAACCCTAAACCCCAAACCGAGACACCAGTATAAACCGTTCTGTCGCAGTGGTTCCTTTAAGGAACACCAGGACCGAATTTTAGGGGCTGACTTATATTTATAGTATAAGGACACCATAATCAGGACACCCAAAAAAATGTAGGTTTTGCGGGGTCCAGTTAGGTCCCTCCTAAACCCGCTAAGCCTTACCCTCTAAGGACTCATATTTTTAAGGCCTTTTGGGCCCAAAGGCCCTGTTGTGTGAGGCTTTTGGGCTATTTTGATGCTAAGGGTAAAACAGGCATTCAAGTTTGGTACTCCAGAACCCACTTGAGGGTTGACATCTCATGGCCCGAAAAACTGGCAAAGTAACTGCCTTAGGGTTTAGGGTTTAGGGGCAGATAAGTTGGGTTGAGGGTTTAGGGTGCCCCGGCGCTGTAATGAGACTTATATCTAGCCTCTGTTATGACGCCTAACATAGATTATGCTACACCCAAAACCCTAAACCCAAAAAAGGGACAGCCGCAACAAGCAGAACTTGAGTCAGCAGCAACCGATACTCAGTGATTTAGGGTTATGAGGGTCCTGGGGCTTCAAGCGTCAAGGGGGGGGGGGGTTGAATGTGGCTGGGCCTGGGCCGTTCTGCAGTCGGTGTCAAGCTGTCCACTTCCAGAGTTGTCATCCAAAAGTAATGCAGCAAAGTCATCTTACCTGAAGCTTGCCATAAGGCCCCAAAGGTAATGCCCATAACCCCCCAAAGTAATGCACCTAACTTACTTGTCATCTCACTTTGCCATAAGCTCCAAAAGTAACACTGTAGTACTCCCAGAAACTTCCTTTTGGCAATGTCGTCTGAGTATACAGATGTGGAAGCTCTGGAATCCAGTGAGTCGTCGAGCACCCCAACAGAGCTGGATTCTGGAGTTGAATCCGATTCTGGGGAAGACTCTTCGTCTTCCGACGATGTTACGCTTTCTGATTCAGATTATTCCAAGTGTTTCTCAAGCAGCACTACTTCGACAGACGACCGGCCCAACTGGGAGGCAATTCGGAGACGAGCTTTGCAACCTGGACTTCATAAAAAGAACTGATGTATCGCCCAGGTGTGGTCCTGTGATTCTTTCTGAATAATGCCTCATGCTAAACTTAGGCGAGCTCCCGTGGAACAGCAGCTCCTAGACCCAATTCAAAAGCACTATGTGTCTGGCTGGGGCCGTACCATGCTGGCAAGGACCGGACACTCGGTGGCACAATTTTTCCAGTGATCGCGCCACGACCACACAGTCAGATTCTTTGATCTCGTGCATTGCTTGTGGATCTAAGGTATGCGGAATGCTGTGAGGAGGTTCCTGGACTACGACCTCCCGGTGATGTCGGATTGCTTCTTGACTCACTGGCTTAGTGGGGCCTTGAATGAGAATAGGGTGGGGTAGTGAACCCGGCAGGCTCCGGAGCCGAAGGTGGTCTTTTGGCGCTGAAAGCCCTGGACATCCAGGCCAACATATAATAGGTCAGATCTGTAATTACATCTAACTGCCAAGTCATACCTTCCGCTGGAAGCCCTGGTGAGGTGGATCATGTGTCCAGCTGTGAAAGCAACCACAAGGCAGTGGAGTTTATTGCCAAAAGCTTTCACCCGAAAGTGCTGCTCGGCTCACGTACAGTGCTTACTGTGCATATGTGTTCTCGATGACTAGTGCCGGGGGGACAGGTTCTATCCTGATGTCTGTGATCGGGAGCTCGACGAGCGGAATTATGGATGCGTGGCTCTGGTAGCCGGCTTCCCGTGTCAGCCGCTGCTCGTCCGCAGACCTGTCACGGTAGTAATTGGAGTCGTTGGACTGTCACCCCAGCAATGTTGCTCCATCCGAGGTTCAGTCGACTTCGGCGGGAAAGTCAATTATTGGAGGAGGAGGACCCGGCCGAAGTAGAGATCTCTAAGACAAGAAGATTAAAAGTGGTATGAGGTTCATGATTTGTACTGGCTTGCAACATTCAGGATGCAAAGCCGTTCTTTGCAATTATCGAGACTTTGAAAAGTCTGAAGCTCCCGCTCTACATATTGGAGAACGTCCTGGGCATCCGCAAGTGCATGCATATCATAAAGCCCTTGCTTCGAAGGCAGCTGCCTGGTTATTACCATGCCGTGCTGCAGCTGAACGCTAAAGACTTGGGAGACGTGGTTTCCCGACCAAGGGTCTACTTCATCGGGATCCTGAGGATTGTGTCTTCTCAGATAATCCAATAAAAGTGTCACGGGTTCAACAATAAGAGGTACTACAGCTTTTAACTCTCCATCCCTGGCTCCAGGAAGTATGCAGGGCCGACCATCGGGTCACATGATGATCTGCAAGCCCAGATATCCTATATCCTTCGCAAGGCCCAATCCGAGTCGACCTTTCGCTGGAGGGACCTCGTCCTGGAGGATGCTTCTGGTGAGGCTGAAGGCGGCATGCCTTCGAAGCGCAGGAGGACGGAAATCCATGATATGCGGTTTGCGAGCCTCGGGTGAACCTGGTAATATGTGTTGCTACTGTATCCGAAATATGTTGCTACTGTTTCCGGAACTGCTCCATACATCTTAAGGCCTACAGATCCATGTCCGAAGTGGTGCCACATTCACTGGAAGTTCATGAAAGATCACAAGGCCAAGCACCGTGGGATGTGCTGCGTTGCATCATGAGCTGCTGCTGATGTGTGCAGGTGAACCCCAAGAAGCTGAAGCACTCCGTGAAAGGGCGGCAAGCTTTTGGGGATCAGAGGCGTCGACATGCCTCTAGGCTCAATTGTCAATCCAAGACATCATGGCAAATTGCCACATTCCACATTCTGCAACCAAGGCGGTGGATGTCATGGCTACGTTGCACGGCGAGGAGAAACCGCGCATTTTGAATGTGTCCCAACAATTGGACCGGATGCATATCCGGAAGAACTGCATTGGCTGCTTGACGCCGGGCAGCTCTATGTACATGTTGCATTTGGGACGCTCTTTGTCAGGCCGGGCCGGTGAAACTCAGAGTCGTCGTCGTCGTCGTCGTCGTAAGTCACAACCCTGATTGCTGTGCGCAGGCTTGGAGATGATGCTCTTCCAGGGGTTCGACATCAGCCAGCTGAATTTGCACGGCATGGATGACAAGGACCTCTGCTCTGTCTGGGGGAGGGGGGGAGGGGGTTCTGTGAGCTCTCCCTTTCTCACACATAGTTTGATAGCTGTGGTTTGACTTTGACCGAAATCACATAGTTTACCATCGATTGTTGTCGGTTGTGTGCGGTTTAAAATTTAGGGGTTAGGGGATTTAGGGTTTAGGGTTGAAAGGGTTTAGTTTAACTTGGCCTTCGGCACTTTAGGTTCAAACTTGGATTCTGTGTAGCCTTTGCTAAGCCGTGTTTCAGTGGTATAGTTTTTAGGTGGAATGTGTGTCACTGTTTTAAGGGGTATGCATTCTGTGTAGTGGGTGCTTAGGTGTGTTTCATCGGGTGTGATAGCGGTGATGGCCATTAGCAGTAGCACTTGAGGTTCAAGCTTGGATTCTGTGTAGCCAGTCCTAAGCCGTGCTTCAGTGGTATAGTTTCTGGGTGTTATGTATGTGTGTCATTGTTTTGAGTTCGGTATTCTGTGTAGTGGGTGCTTAGGTGTGTTTGATCGGGTCTGATGATGTAGCTCATAGAACCTTGTGCTTTGTTAAGTTGCAGTTTGGATTCTGTGTAGCCGGCGCAAAGCCGCCTTTCATCTTGTGCAGTGATACAATGTAGCTCCTGAAATATCTGGAATGGTGATTCTGTGACGGGATAATGGTCGTAGTCTGTATCGAGAACATGTGGTTGCCATTTGGAATATTACAATAAACCTGACAAAATACTCGAGACCTCTAATACTAATTACATGCACTTATGATTTTACTTCTTCTCCCCACGGTGTAAACTTGCCCTTAACCCTTAAACCTTAACCCCTTTAAATTTTGTACTCTAAAAACCCTAGACCCTAAAACCCTAAAACCTTTAAACCCTAAACCCTTAAACCCTATTTAAACCTTGAACCCTTTAAAACTTAAACCCTAAACCCTAAATCCCTTTAAACCGTCTTCAATGTTATGGAGGGACTGACTGACTCATGACTTTAGGGTCGCCTGTGGAAGGCCGTCCGCTAATGTCAGTCCCAAGCCGGTTTCTAGGCATCGGTGGTTGTGGGGTGCACTCAATCTGACTGAAGCCACGACGGTGCACATTTTTGTGTAGCACACGGTCCCAGACCCAATTTCTCGACAAACTGGCATGGCCTTGATGGCAAGAGTCCGCTGTGTGGTCGTATCAATCTGTGACGAAGGACCACCTAGTGGTGAGCACGGCGGAGTTTCCTTGCAAAGCATGGTGTGTAGTCTTTTCATGGACACATTCGTTACTTTTGAACTCGATTCCTTGCAAAGCATGGTGTGTAGTTTCATGGACACATTCCTTACTTGTGAACTCTACCATCACTGCGATCATGGCCTTATTTCCAACAGACCGGTATTCTGTGTCATGAGTTGATCTTGAAGAGTTGTCAAGACACGTCGCGCGGGATGGGTTTCAATCGGCGGCCCTGAGTGTGAGCAGTTCTTGTGGCTAGAGTTGCAGTCCTGCTGTTTCGTGTTGGGTTGGTTTCGGGCTTGGTTGATTTCGGGTTGTTCTCGAGAAAGATTAACAACTCGTGACAGGACTTGCGTCGTTTGGCTGGGAATGTGCCTTGCATGGAAATTGGGTCATTGCTGGCTTCATTGCTGGAGTGCTCTGTTCCACTGCTAGAACCTTTGCTTGATGTTGCAGACAAATTGGGAGCTCAGGCCATGCACATTCGATCAGCTGGGGTCGCATGGCTCGCGGCCTTCTCTGCAATGGACCTCTCGCTCCTTCGAGACGACTACAGACCTTAGATCTGCTTCAGGACTGGTGCCTCGGACAGGAAGTTTGTGAAATAAGACTGTTCTGGAAGAATTGCTTCATTTTAGGAGATGTGGTTCTGATGGACTTGGCTTTGTGAGCCGCTTCATGACAGGTGCCTCGGACCGGATGTTTGTGAAATAAGACGATGGTCGAAGCATTGTTGTGTGTAGGCTTAGGGCTGTAGGGTGTCTGTCATCCCAGGTGATGTGGTTATGATGGATGTGGCTTCGGGAGCCACTTGAGGACAGGTGCCTCGGGCCGGAAGTTTGTCAAATAAGACGGTGCTCGATGCATTGTTGTGTGTAAGGGCTGTCGGGGGTATCTGTCATCCCAGGTCGATGTGGGTATGATGGATTTTGCTATGTGGGCCGCTTCATGACAGACCTGAAGTTTGTGAAATAAGACAGTGTTCCAAGCACTGTTGTGTGTAAGGGCTGTGAAGGATTCTGTCATCCCAGGTGATATGGTTATGATTTGTGATGGTTTTGGCTTTGTGAGCCGCTTCAGGACAGGTGTCTCGGAATGCAAATTTGTTGCATCTTAGTAAGACGGCGCTCGAAGCATTGTTGTGTGTAAGTTTAAGGGTGTCTGTCATCCCAGGGGATTCGGTTCTGATGGATGTGGCTTCAAGTGCTGCTTCATGACACGTGCCTCGGACCGGAAGTTTTGGATAACCATGACTGTGACAGTGCTCGATGCATTGTTGTGTCAAAGGGTGTTCGTCATCCTAGGTGATGTGGATCTGGAGGTGGCTTGGCGAGCTGCGTGACAAAGGGTGCCTCGGAAGTGAACCCTTTCGGTAATGTGTGTAGACTAGAGTGCACTGTGGCAGCCGCACCCTCCTCAGGACGTCGGTTATGCTACCTCCGGCTCTGGATGGCTGCGCTGGATATCCACCGTTGCCATGGAGCGGTGCAAACACTAGCTTCCGTCCGTTGCATGACAGGGGTGTGTGTCTGCTGCTGATTACAGTTTAGGCACAGGCTGTCGGGTGGGCATGTTGCATGAGTAACGGTTGTCCATCGTGTGTGCAACCATGGCAAGTCTGCGGGCATTTAGAGGTTCGGCCACCTCGGTAGCTCTGATCACGACAGGCTAACTTCTTAGATAGCCAATGGGTGATGAATCAGAACTTTAAACTTTTTGGCCTTATATACTAGATCTACTCTAGAAGCATTGCTTGTTTTTGGCGTGGTTGTTGAAGATGTCAGAATTTTGTTGTGTTCCGAGATAGCAGATCGTGTGCTTCATGGTTGCAGTGGCCCATGGCGGGCAACAAACGGAAGAGGTCTCAGGCTTCCTCCGAGACTTCGTCGTCTGCTGAGGAAACGACGAGTGACACTGATACAAGCGACTCCTCAGAGACAGAAAGTGGCAACTCGAGCACAGGCAGCAGCTCATCAAGTGCCGAATCCGTCGCTCGCCGTGTGTCAAACCTATCCTTCAATCAGGTTTTCCATGGGGATGAGGACAGTGATTCGGAGGAGGATGCTTACCAAAGAAATGGGAAATCGAAGAAGAGGATTGCCAATGCAATGAAAAAGAGATGTTGTGCACAAAAGTGCAAGAAGCAGCTGGTGTTCAAGATGGTGCGCTTTCTGGTGTCATCTTTCTGGTCTTTGACCAAGGGGGGGCAAGATGCTCTGCTCTGGTCGATGCAAAACCCCCTGTGGGTACCTGAAGAGGGCTCGGATGAAGATGAAGAGTCCCACTCCAGCAGCATCGCAAAGAAAACTGTTGCGGTTTCTTGGCACTTGGAAGGTGCTGCCGGGCTGCAAACACGATTTTGGTAGATGTCCAATTGCACCGAGCCCCCCTCCCGATCCTACCTGTGGAATCAACTAAAGTTAAGTCAGAGTCGTGCACGGTACTTGCAGTTGGTTTGCACTTAGTGCGTGGAGCCGATGTCATTTGGAGGTGTTCCCGTTTGCCGAACTGCATTCCTTCAGATTGTCGGCATCTCCCCAAACCGATTGGTGCGGTGCCGCCGGAACTTCCGCGGCATGGATGGGCGCAGATTTTGTCACTTGGACAGAGAAACACATGTACACAGTAGTGTCCTTGGTCATGCTTTGTGATTCCTGGGTCAGACAACATACTGATACCATACTGTTTCGACCCAGGCCAGCCTAAGACTTCGGCTCCGATGTTTGCCTCCTGTGTGGCCTTCATACAGAAGCTTTATTGGGGCATTGCCGAGTCCATGCCCCATGAGTGCCTTGAATTGATCAATCATGGATTCCTTTCATGCTGTTTGTGCACATGTGTCTGTTTTATCCAGCCGTCTGCTGGAGGCTAAAGGTGCGGGACATGGCTTTTGGTGACTTTGTCAATACTGATACGTGCCAGCAGGATGTGCTGCAGTGCTTGCTTGACGTGGCCTTGCAGCAGGAGTTGAGCGGAATATTGGAACCGAGACACCTACCTAAGAAGTATCTTCCTCCTGGGAAAAGGTCGGACTTGTACCACCTCTATCTCGCCTCTTGTATGGCTGCAAATGCAAAGGTTGCATCGGTGAAGACTTTCTATCGAGCGTTCGAGCAATCAGGTTTTTCGAAAGTCCTTCGTTTTAGGCAAAGGACTCAACACACTGAATGCTTGATTTGTTCCAAACTCAAAGCGCGAATTGCGAGCTCCAAAAACTTCGTCGAGCATGCCAAGTACTGCGACAGATATCATCGGCATCTGGGTGGCATGTTTGCAGACCGGCGAGTCTATGCTACATTGCGTGCACGGGTGTCTGGGCTGCTTGAATGAGTGCTCGTGCTGAGTCTGTCACGCATACTGACATGCATGTTGTGTAGACAGTTGCCTCCTTGTTCTGAGGTTGTCAAAGATGCCGATATCTTGTTGGCCATCATAGATGGCATGGACAGAAGCAAATATGCTTTACCAAGGTGGCTTAACAGCCGAACTCCCAAGGGTGCTGATAAAAAAAATCGTCCCTCCTTGGACCTCTATGCCTGCATCTTGCACGGCCGAGCCGTGAACATCTTCATCACTGATGAGAATCAAACGGTTGGAGCAAACTTTGCAGCTGAGATATGGGCACGATCTGTGCAAAAAGCGTGGGAGGCTTGTCAGCACCAGAACAAACCGTTTCCTTCACATGCCATTCTTTTCGGAGACAACACATCACGTGAGCTTCGCAATTCCTGCTTTTCGAAGCTGTTCTGTGCGATCACAAGTGGGGGCCGATTCACTTCGGCCTCAGTGAAGCATTTACCTGTCGGTCATACACATGAAGATATAGGTGCCGGGCTTACATCTTGTGTGTGTGTGTTGTCCTGCAATGCAGTCATGTGGAGAATAAGAACATTTACTTCAATATTATGGAAACAATAGAAGTTGCCCTGGCTCAGATGCTTTTTTTGGAATGCTGACAACGATTATCAATGGAAGCTCGGATGACATGCTACTCGGGCAGCACGTGCATTCAGTTCCTGACATGTTGGTAGGTGTCACTTGTCAGCGTGTGCAAGGAGGATGCTAAGTCTGCCTGCCCTTGTGTCCAAGGCAACGGCCCATAGATGTAATCAACATCCTGAAAAAAAAGCTGGAGCCGATGTTTGCAAGGCGGGACGAAGCACTTCATATTGAGCATGTTACTTGTGTCAGAGATTGGGACGAAGAGCTCCCAAACGCCGCCAAGCTCTATGGGGCTTTCAGAAAGAGAAAGGGTGATGAAGACAAGAACAAGATCATCCCGCATTCATTCACGTTTGTGAGGCGAGAGAGCTCCTTGAATTGGAGTAGTACATCTAGGTTCAAGGTCTATTCCTCCACTCGAATTAACGGTGTTACTTTTTTGTTATGTTTGGGAAGCTGCAAGTGATGTGCGTGTACAATAGGTTTGCCCCATCGAGTTCGTCGTGATGTGAAAGAAAATCTTCCGCGCCGGTATCCACCTCACGACGAGGATGTCTTTGCCTTTGTGAAGAGGTTTATTTCAGACTCTGATTATTCTCAATCACCCTTCGTTGTGTATCCTGGATCTGTGCAACAAGATACGTATGCGTCATTGAGAAGACTGTCTGGATCAAATTGCCGAGGCGAGGCTGGCCAGCTTTGTTTTCTGTGTGAAGACCCAAGTCGAAACCCTGTCTTAGCCTCACCATGCCTTCTCTGAGTTGTGGTGCTCATGCTGTGTTTTTTTCCAAACTGTCTTGCACATGTTACAGGCATGGTGCGGAGCTTGGAGGACGGCAAGGCCAAGGATTACAGAGAGCTGGCCCACTGGCTGGAAAGGAACTTTCCGGGGCGATACGATCGTGGTGTGCAGTATCTGCGTGAGCTCTCAGGTGAAGTTGCAATGGTGCAGGAAAGGCTGCCAATGCTTCCGTGGCTATCTCCAAATCAGTTCCAGCGTGCAGCGCCTCCCCGGTTGCAGTTGCCGAATCCTCTCGAGAATGATACTCACAACTTGCGAGTCCAGTTTCACAGACTGTAGTTTCCAGACTCACAAGTGGCAGATGCAAGCCAATAAGGTTGCCTTTTCGATTCCTGTGCAATGGGTTGCTTGTGCATGTTTGCTAGCTCTGATACCAGGAGACCAAATCGAGTTGAGTGCCTAAAGGTCTTCGCCTGTGGAAGGCCGCATAGTCTGTGGAAGGGCGTTCTCATGTGGAAGGTCGTTCTGAAGCCGGTGAAAGGATCATAAGGGTTGTCTGTGGAAGACGTGTTCAATCCACGGGGTGGTCTGTGGAAGAGGCACTCAATCCACCGGGTGGTCTGTGGAAGCGGTGTTAAATGCACTTGCTGCTTGTCTCCGGCCCTACTCAGACGGTTTTCTGCCTCAGCAGGGTCTTGTGGCATCCGTGTGCCTGGTGCCATGACGACCGTTCAGCCAAAGGAAGAAACAAAGGATGAGGACCAGGAAATGCCCAAGCAAGAGCCGGGGGAAGGCGCAGATCCTCGGCCGAGCACAGGGCCCACCAACCTCAAGGGACGGATCGAAGCGGCCTTCCACCAGGCCTTTAGGGGGGGGGTGGGGGGTCGTGCTCATTACACAGTGACAGTATGATAGCTGTGTAGCCCGTGGTACAGGTCTGTTCCCAGGGCAAGCATATTGGTGAAGTCTTGATGGAGATGTTCCCGCACAGCCATGCGGGCCACACCGAGTTCTGCAAGGCCTTTTTGTGTGTGTGCTGAAAGGTCTCCGAGTCTAGTGTGTGTTTTCGGGGATGAACATGTCGTGCCTGTGTGCTGTGGCAGGTCATGCTGACAAATTTGTCCATCCCGGCAGTGGCCCCCAAGGTGGAGCCCCACAGATCCATCAACTATATGCCCAAAGCTACAGTTCACGACTTTTGGTTGAACCCGTGGCAGATCGATTACTCCCGCAGCTGCAAGTACGGTTACAAGGCATGCATTAGAAGCCTTAGGAGCCAGCTAGTGGAAGCGAGGTGTGTTGTTATGTCACAATCTCATCCGAGGCGAGCATGGGAAATTCCCTGACTTATGCACCCTGCGCATCCACTTCACATCGATTCTGAATGTGGGATTCCAGGCGACAAGGGAGCCGCTTGAAGTACGACTTCCCACTGATGTGGATCCAGGACTCTCTGCAAGGGTTGATATCTATGTGCTGCTTGAAGATCTCACGGTTCAGTCTTTGAGGACAGCCCTGCGTTGAGAATGTGCCGATATTCTCTGTGAAGTTGGTTGATGGCTTCACGAAGAGCCTGTGTATTCAGGCAATTTTCGGGCTGCTGCACCACCTAGCAACATGTCTGATTTAAAATTTGTGTTCGGGATCTGTCCGTTGGCTGTGTCAGTGTCTGTCAGTGAACCATTGGACCTTTGAGTTGAGTGCTGTCAATGGCATTTCCTTGGAGCTGTGGACCTGTGAACCGAGGGTATCACAGCAGAGGAAATCGGGGAAGACGGTGACTTCGCTGCCTGCCTGGCATCCTACAAGTATCTGAAAGGGAATTTCACTTTCCATCCTCGGCCCGAGCTGTACCTCTTTGAATCTTTGGCCCTTTGTCAGAGAACTTCCGAGAAGCAAAGTGCATCGGCGCTCGACCTTGCAAGTGTTTTTGCAGAAGCAGTGCGCCTCCGTCGGTCAGTGATGGGACAAAAGTCTCTGCGAGATCTTCTTCATGCTTGTGTGGGTGACTACAACAAGGCAGTTGGCAAGGTGCCTTTGATGTTGATTGTAGTTGGCTCTGTGTGCGTGTGTCTGTGTGTGTGCGCTCTGTGCATGTCTAGATGGTTGACTCCATATATTATGGTGTAGATTTCATAAGGTGTGTAACTTGGACAATGTATGCTTCGGTGTGGATTTAGCACTCATTATGGGTGCAAGTGTAACTACCTCTAAGTGTAGGGTTTTTTGCTTGCTTGTGTTTTGTGTATACGTCCAGGAGTCCAGGGTCTATGATGTCCAGGGTCTGTGATATCTGTCTTTTCGGGTTTCTGTGGTGCACTTTGCTGACTGATCTCAATCTTGTCGATATACTAAGGATCACAAAGTGCGGCAAGATGTTCAAAGAATCATATACAATGTTCTTCGGTGCCCGACTGAAATGCGGGACATCTTGGCCAAGGTGTATGGTGACTACCGCCACTACAATGCAGGCCTTGACTTTGACTGATTCTTTATCTGTCACCGTCCCACTCTCTCTCTCTGTGTCACTCTCTCTCTCTCTCTCTCTCTCTCTCTCTCTCTCAGCTGCCCTACATGAGCTTGAGCTTGCCAGCTCTGACCTTGGATAATTTGGCCGGTGATTTCTATGTCCCTGGCACGAACCTCGGCAAAGGGCATGC